TGTGTGTGTATATATATATATATATATATATATACACACACACACACATATATATATATATTGTATCTGTCTGAAACCAGCCAGACTCCAGGTGGCTTACAGAAATTAAGAGTTAAATTGAGCTTCTGGTGAGGATTCATGGCGAACTAGACATCCCTGAAGGAATGGAGACAGCAGTACAGCAGAGATCAGTGGCCAGATGGTGAATTCTGGCTGGCACAGTCTTTCCAGGTAAAAGAGAGATCATGAGATTGCCCACCTACACTCCAGACAGCTCCTCCTTGTGAGTTGACTGCAGGAACTGAGGTTTTAGTGGTCTGCTCATGAGTTGAGCAGCTGGGAATTGAGGGATTCCAATCAAGCTCACAGCTGTAAGGCTGCCTACATGGACCTAAGGTTTTTTTTTTTTTGCAAAAAGCTTAACAAAGAATGGATGTAAGAAAATTTAAAATGGATAAAGAGGATAGTTATTTTGAAAGATTATTTTCTGGTGAAAGTGCTTTTGAATAAATTGGAATTAAAATAGACAAATGAACCAGACCTTTGTGGGAATGTTTTTTGTCTAGAGTGCAGACAACTGGTGGATTTACAAAACAAAAGATAAAGGTAATATGAGCCAGATTGTGATGCTGACTGTAACTAGGGAGATGCTGACTGTGATGCTCACTATAACTATGGAGTGCCACCTGAGATGAAAATATTAAAGGCACAAGAAGACAAAAGAGAACAAAAGCGGGGAAGCTTCCTTTTCTTTTTTCCTTGTTTGAGACACTTACATTTTTGGATTATAATACTATAATGGCAACCACCAGAAAAGTGGCAAGAATGGAGGAGAAGAGAGGATAGCTAGAGCAACCTGTAGAGAGAGGAATTACACTACAATATTTGAGTAACTGGGCTGTAATTTAGCTGAATCACGTGATACTAAATTGACAGTTTTTGAAAAAAGAATGGATGAAAGACTTGTAAAGATGAAAGAGGAGATAAAAGAAGAAGTTAAGAAATTGGGAAGCTCTGTAAAACAAGTATATGGAGATATAAAACAAATTAATGACAAAGAGGAAATTTTGGAGAGTAAGACAGAAGTTATAGACAGAGAGTTGGAAGAGAACTAGATAATCTGGCTCTATTGGAATTGAGAGAGAAGAAATTTTGTTTGAGATTTAGAGCAATCCCAGAGTATTCTGGTGAAGATATTAGAGAAAAAATTATTAAAGTGTTAGC